CCCCAAAACCCCAAAACCCCAAAACCCCAATTCGTCTAAAAATTGTTGAAATCTAGATGTTTTGCACATTTATGACTCATTTTATGTAAATAGAAAAGTTGTTATTACGAGCAGGGTTTCATTATTTACACAAAATCCCAATTTTAAATTGAAGCATGAATGCCTAAGGATGCTATATGCTTAAAATTCTAAATGTTCGCTTTATCTCTCATTTCGATTTAGAAACAATCAAATTTCAAGGCGATATTTCGCTCAAACAGTATTTTAGGCATTTGAAATTTTAGAGAAATAACCATCTTTTATATATGCGCAGAATCAAGATTAAAATCATGAATATGGTAACTGATAGGAGAATCCCCCAAAAGTGTTCGATCAGGATTTCCTGCACAAATCCGAGGTAAATATTCATGGTATGCTTGCTTTGACTGATTCTGGTCTCTTTGTAGTTAATTTTTGATCTGTAGGAGTGAGGTTAAAATTTTAAATAATAATTGTTGGAGATTTACTTAAATTCTCTATCTGTCTCACTAACATTTAAAATAAGACTATTCAGTTGTATGCTGCTTTTAAATTTGTTGCATTCCAGCTTTAGCTTAGGGTACTCGGTCCTCTCACAGTTGTTCTGCTGATATTCCAAGTGAAGATTTTCCAGCTCGTTAGCTCGCTCATTTATCTCCCGCAGGATGGAGGTATCAATATCATTTTCAAGCATTGGGAAAAACGATAAAATCCTTGTCCTAGAGTATATTGTGTAAAGAGTGAGCAACAGCAAAGCAATGATGATCATGCTCGGTGGAATGGAGAAACCTATTGAAAGGTTAGAGATATGATGAAGGACCTGAATACATTTGTGACTTTTAGAATGGATGTGATAGAATATAATTTTTTGAAAATTAAATACCAAAGAAAACTCTATTAAAAACCTCTACCATTAATCCCTCCTCTAACCCTTCTTCCCACCCAAATCCTCACCTATCACTTTCCCTTCCTTCTTTCCTTCCTCATCTCAAGCCTCCTCTACTTCCGTATCCCTCTATACTCTTCATCACCCCTCTCCCAGCACCCAAATCCCCCAAAACTTCTCTTTTCCCTTAAAACCCAGCCTGCCCTTAAAAACCTTCTTGGCCTAGCTTCCCAGCTAAGCCTTCAATCAAGACCCGTTTAAAATCCCAGTTACGGTTATTACCTCTTCTCTTAAAGTTAGATATCCATCGGTCTCTTCAAAGTTTTGATCGTTGTCTTCAGAGCTTGAAATGTCCAGGATTGACTCTGCCTCGGTCTGCTGGAGAGCAGGGGTTTCAGTGTTTTTGGTCAGCTAAATTTGTTAGATAAGACATTTGGGGGTTTTGGGAGAAGATTAGAGAGCTTAGAGGGATAAAAGGACCTAGAGAGTCAAGATAGTCAAATTTGATGAAATTTAGGCTTGGTAGAGGCTTAATATTGAGATTTGTGAGAAAAAAAATTGGGTGGAGTTTAAATCAGTTATGATAACCCTCATGATTTAAAACAATCTTACGTCAATCGTAGTCGGGAGTGGGCTTTCACTCTCAAGCAGCTCTAAATATACTCATAAACCTACTCACTTACTCACAGAAGGTCCTCTATACGTATTCGACTTGCTACCCTTCATCTTCATCATTATTCCACCCAATAATAAACTTTATAAACCTCCCCAATCTTACCACTTATATCCGGGGTTTTGGGGTTTTGGGGTTTTGGGGTTTTGGGG